TAAAAAAAAATTGTGTCCATTTTAACTGTCCCATCAGTGTTCCAGAAATATTTCCACTCTGTTTTTGGGCCCCTGAGGTAGTTATTCAAGGGTTAGGGAATAGATACCAATTGTAATACAAATAAGGAGCAGGTTACTTCCTTGAAAGAATCAGCATCAGTGATGGTAATTTCCTTTCTACCATCATTAGTAATATCTGTTAATGATATTACTGTCAATGTAGGCATTCACCTACTTACACAGTGTGCCCTAGAAAAGCACTAAGGCATCATCATAATCATCCACAAATATGTGCTAAACAGGCAATCAGAAAAAAAAAATCTCTTAAGATGGATATTTTACCTCTCCATGATGTGTTTACCGATTCCCACCCAGAAGTGCCAGTTGCTTCTTTTTCTGAACTCCTGAAGTGATGGCTGCTAAGTATTCTCCTTCCCCCCATGATAACTAGTTTTAAGATACTAAGGCCAGAAATACAAGACTGGCCCAGTCTTTTCAGCTTTTACTTTCCACAAATCCATTATGCTTGTAAAAGTTATGGAGGAGAGGGTCTTTTCATAATAAATTGATGGGAGTTTAGTACAATTAGCTCACCAAAAAGCTCTACCACTTGTAGTCATGAATCATTCCACTTTCAGAAATCCCACATCAATCTATATAGACCAAAATTTAATACTCAATGATGATATGCTTTATTGTTTTCTAAGCTTCTAGGATGGCAACAAAATCTTGTTGCCTTAGTTAAGTTGTAAATAATTTACAGATGGAAAAAATGGAGGCCAGAGTCACCTGAGCAAATATGTCTCAAAAATGTTACTTGCTTGGTTGATTCCAGCAGGTTTCAAAACTCTATCAAATTTAATCATATTATTTAATGCCTTTTGGGTTGCAATCTATTGATGGTTTATTGTCTGCTTTTTTGCTTACATTAATTTTTTCAAATGTCTACTGGTAGTCCACAATTCCCTCCCTCTTCGTGCCTCTCCCTGCAACCCTTTATCATATGAAATTAACCACAGATGAGAAAGTATTAGGTGTGAAAATCATAACATTTTATTTTACCAGAGCTCCTGATATTATAATATTAGAGCGGTAGTTAAAGAAGAGGTAGTTAAAATCAATTATTGGATACCTACAATGTTCAGTTATCTTCAACTGATGTTGAGGTATTTGCTGGCATTTTGAGCTACATTATCAATTGGGAACTGCCTCAAACACTGAAGCTTAGGGCCATTTGCTGACACCATTCTAGAAATCAAAATATATAAAACCACATTCAGGTGGGTTTTTAAAATATATTTATAAAATCATGAGCTGCCACAGTGCCGATGAGTCCAGTGAGAAATAGAGGAAGGCAGCCAAAAAAAAGAAGGTAGGGATTTGGATCGAGTCCATGGCCAATTTAAAGTACGTAAGCCTGTCTTTGGAGATACTGAAATCCTTAGCAGCATATTGGAAAAATTTTCAGAATGTTTCAGAAAACAATACAAGGTAAATGCAATTCTGATTTTTAAGTGGAATTAAACGGCAGGAGTACATTGCAGAGTAGAGTCTGCCAGACTTCAGGATTTATGGATCAGTAAAATTAAAGAGAATAAATAATTGGAGGACTCTGGCGAGTTGCCAGCTCTTTATTTTTGCCAAGCATTGCTAGCATGCCTTCCCCTACTAAGATTCTGTTGGGTGAGGAAGTTACCCTATTAGACCTAAGCCACAATGGAGGTTATTTAAACAAAGGATGCGAAAACATTTAGAAAGAAACACACAGAAAAGGTTCTTTTCACCGTGTGGAAGTTATTGGTTGGCAATTTCGCTTGTGTAAGAGTTCAGCTTTTCTGAGCTCTGATTCCTACAGGGTCAACTTCTGCCTAGTGACCACAGCCAGGACGGGTGGGAAGCTCTGTGGTCTGGAGAGTCACCTCTGTGACTAACAGAGTCCAGTTACAGGGCTTCTCTTCTAGACTCAGGTGTGTACTCTCCACTGTCTGCAAGCCTTAACTCCAAACCATACTTATTGTACGTATTGTATAGATTTCTCTGACTTCTACTGTGTTCCCTTGAGACTCATACAGATGCAAGAAAGTGTTTTACCAGAGTTGGTGATATAATAGGCTGTGGTTACTACTTTTGTAAAAATGGTTTTTGTTAGGAAAAAATCTAGTCATATTCCAAAATAGAGAATGTGTGATGCGCCATCATATACTATCATCCAGCTTCAACAATTATTAACAATTATTAATCGCCAATCTTGTTTTTTCTAACCCTCTACGCATTTTCCCAACCCCAGATGATTGGGAAGAAAATCCCAAACACATAACTCTATCTGTGCGTGTCTTGATTATACATATCTAAAAGCTGCATACTCTAAAAAGAAACCCAAAGTACCATTAGCATACTTTAACTACTTAATATCATAAAACATTTAGCCCAAATTTAAATTTAAATATATTTGTTTATATACTTAAATTTATTTGTATATGTTTGTTATAATTTATTCTATTTAGGATACAAGGTCTGTGATTTGTTTCCTATCAGTTTCTCACTATCAGGATTATTTTGACTGCATCTATGTGGTTTTATTTTACTTTTGGGGGGGAGGTCTCTTGAATTTTCTGTAAGTTGCAGGTTGATCCTAAGGTATGATAATCTCTAAGTTTTGTTTTGTTTTTGGTAAGAATATTTTCATAGGCAGTGTTATGTCTTTCAATTAAGAAACACAACATCTGGTTTGTTTTCTTTTTCTCTCTTCCAACATTAACAGATGTTAAAGACTTGGTCTATAGCCATTATTTTATTGGGAATGCTAATATTTTCTTACCTTTCTTACAGATAATTTTTAAAAATTACCCAAGACCTGATTCCTGGGGCATTTTTAAGTTTTCATACTGTTGTGCTAAATTCCTTAGCAATTGCTCACTGTTTGTAAAAGTGTGATCTCAAGTGTCTCTCACACACCAGGCAAGGATGGTAAGGAGCAAAAAACCATCATCTAAATTTATCAACCTTTCATAGAATGGAAAGCAGACGCAGGGAAAACTTAATTAAAGAAAAACTTAAATTGAAGATTAAAATATAGAACTTTAAATACATATCTATTTCTAGAAAATTGTTCACACTTTACCTTTTTCTCATGCCACTATGAACAGGGGACTCTGCATTCTGGACTCATATGATGGATGACAATGTAGAAACCATTGTTTGACAGTGTAGAGTTGGTAAACACCTGCTAGAAAGTGAACATTTGTCCAGCCAAGTTAAAGGCATAACTGAATTTTATCTTTTCGATGTCATCTTTCTTCCATTGTGTATTCAAAATTGCTGCATAACTTGCTGTATACAGTAAGTTCTACCAAATTTAAAATGAAGCACCATTTTTAAAATCATGCACTGAATCAGGCACTTGGAATGTAAAATGGACTAGGATATAGATTGTGGATATAACAAAGATTAATCAAAATGTGGAGTGAAGATAATATAACAAAAAGAAGTCGAAGTTAGGAGATCTGCATTATCTGTCCCTGCTCTGCATTGAAGAACCTTTATATGCTCCTTGGTGTTTAGTTTCCTTTCCTGTGAATGGGACCATCAAGGCATATGTCTGAAAACTAAGTAAAATAGTGAAAAATTATCTGAAGAATCAAAAGTAAAATATAAAATATAAGAAACTACATGATAATGTTTAGAACTCAATTAAGCTGTGATTTCCCCTTGTACATTTTCTTGCTGTAATAGACATAATGCACCCTCCATTTTCCTTAAAAGCTTCCAAATGGGATACTTTACACTAATGATTTCTTGAAATAATCTTTAAAAGTATTTCTATTATCACAACCAACCCATCTCATGGTGCTGTTGAGAAAATGTGATATGACTTACACAGCCTCTGAAATGTGATATGACTTACATAGCTGGTTAGTTGTTGAGTCTCCTGTTCTTGTGATCTGTCCTCTTCCCACTGCTCTGCACTGCCTAAGGTTTCTTTCACATGGGAAACTACAAACATGAGTAGTGCATTTTAGTCTCCTAGGGCATTGAGGCACGGTAGGAAAGCAACTTGTTTTGGAGACTAGACGAGTAGGTGGCCAAGAGGCTATAGGATTCTTTCTCTGCCAATCACTTGTTCTGTTTGCCCAGTACTCCTAGCCCTTGCTGACCATCTCTCTTTTGACCTTTCTAATCTCATTGTCTTATCCTCCGGATACCAGTCTGATGGGACTGATCACTGTGCTGATGGTGGCTTTGTGTTTACTGTTGGCCTTGACCAATCCATCTGACCTTGTATTGTCAACTCTTACTCCCTGAAGTTGAGAAATAACACAAATCGGGCCTCCTGAACTGGGAACTTGAATTCAGTCCAGCTGTTTTGGCCGGTACAGTGCTTAAAAAATCAGTTTTCAATGTCTTTGTTCTAGATCTGCACGTTCTAAATTTCTTTATACTCTACCATTGTCTATTGAATTATACCAGCCTTTTCTACACATTTCTTATATCTGTTCAGCCCTTAAAAGCACTTGAGTTGGTTACTGGTGGGCAAATCTAGAGCCCTTTGGGCAGAGTGTTGGCATTTTCAGCTTACTGTGAGTCACTTTTAAGTCCAAAGCATTGCCTATAGCATTTTCTCACTGGTTAGGGTTGAGTACTGATATGGCCAAGATTGTAGGGTTTTGTACTTGACGACGTGTCTTAGGGCACTCCAGAGAACGTAGGTAGATCAAGGAAGGTAAAAACCCTTCAAAAAAAACCCAACTAAAATGCATCATTGTATATGCTTCGGAATCTGGAAACAATTTTTTTGTTAGTACTCTGCTCTTCTGACAGAAATGCCTAAATTAGCACAAGATGTTATAATATTTGGTTCAACACAAAGGGGACCTTTCTCTTACCTGTGACAAAATTCTCCTGGAAGAAACACCTTCTGGAGAAGGTAGCAAGGTCATAAAAGAGTATACTTTCCCTTTGCCCTGTGTAATTTTCACTTGTATTCTCTTCAATGCAGGTTGCCAATTTGGCCTGTTCCATCTCCAACAATGAGGAGGGAGTGAAATTAGTCCGGATGGCAGCTACCCAGATTGACAGCCTGTGTCCCCAGGTAAGCCTCATTCACTTTGTTTCACAAACTTATCAGTGACCTGCTATTTGGGACCTTCTAAACTCCATCCCTCCTGTCTCTCCTTTGCTTGCCTTGTTTCCTCCCGCTGGAGAATGTGACCCATCCTTCACCGGTTGTTTCAAGTTCTACCTTTCTCAAAAAGAAATTCTAACTACCCCAGTCTTTTCAGAATTACTGTGGCAATTATTGTCTTCTCCACTCATATTGACTTTGCTGTATTTGTTTTCGGTTGTGATTTAAATGCTCCGTATCTAGTTACCTTGTCTCAGCAACTAAATTATCAGCTCTTACATGCGGAAAGGAAGAGTTATATTTCTGCCACATCTGTGCTAAGAAAATAAGACTTGTCTAGTAAAGACTTCTTGAAACCTGAGGCTAATCATTACATCTTAAAAAGAAGAAAAGCAAACAAAGCTGATGGTAATTGATCAGCTACTTTATCTTTCATGTGTTGGATTGTCCTTGTGAACGCTGAGAACCCACTGAGTCCAGGGTTTCAATGTGGTCTTTGACCAGCTTTTTCCTCTTTTGAAGTCTGTGGTCATCATGTCTTTGGATTGTTTCTAACAAACAGGTCATCAATGCCGCTCTCACACTGGCTGCCCGGCCACAGAGCAAAGTTGCCCAGGATAACATGGATGTCTTCAAAGACCAGTGGGAGAAGCAGGTCCGAGTGCTGACCGAGGCAGTGGATGATATCACTTCGGTGGATGACTTCCTCTCTGTCTCAGGTAGTCACTACAAACAGGCCCCTACAAGGCAGCTGGAGAAGGATAATGGGATGAGATAAGGAATTGCTCTCAAATGTCTTGGGTTTGTGTTTCAAGTGATCTCATTGGCTCTTTGAGATTCACCTCTGCAAATGTGATTATAACACCCTCTGAAATTCTTTTTTTGGTGTACATTATTTCAGACACCATAAAAACATTGGAGGGGAACACATTTTGTAAGGTGTGCTTACATTTCTTTTAATATTTGGATATTTTTTTTTAAATGAGGGTCTCATTCTGTCACCCAGGCTGGAGTAGTACAGTAGTGACATGCAATCTCAACTTTCTGGATTCATGCAGTTCTTCTGCCTCTGTCTCCTGAGTAGCTGGAACCAGAGATCAGTTATTCTAATTTGGCAATGTTAAGTGGGTCATTTTTTCAACAGGTGAAAATTTGTGATAAGATAGGTAGAAATATCAACCACTGGATTAACCCATAAGAAGGAACATGGGGGTATCGAGCTTTTGAGCACTTATCTATGAGGTTGTATAAGAAAATGGAGTGGACTAGTCATCATCTGAAATTGTAACTTTCTTCTTTGTGACTGAAGCCAGACTGGAGAATTCTAGTGGATTTGAATAACAGTAGAGGCAATTTGACCTTTAAACAGGACTCATGGAATCTTTTTCAAGATTGGGCTACCAGCCTGTGAATGGGCCTTTGTCCAAACAGTTTGATCAAACACATTTGGCCCAGTTCACCTGAATAATCTCTGTGAGAAAAAGGTCACTGGAAACATCAATCTCTTTTGTGAGGCTTTGAAAGAGTCAAGTGACCCTTGGCAGTTTCAAATTGACGAGGTGTTGATTCTGCCCACAGGTGTGTGAAATTCACACCCACCAACACAGGCAGCCCTAGTCCTGCCACCTGCTGGATCCTGGCAGACAGAGGCCTGAGGGGGAAGGGACGGTGTCACTGCTGGTAGGAACTGGGCAGAACTGGACCTCTGACTGCAGCAGTTTGGAAAGGACTTCTGTGGGGAGGCTGTCACCTTTGGAAAATTTTTCTAGTTGCATCCTTTCCTTTTCATGAAAAACAGCCGGGTTCGGTGGCTCAGCCTGTAATCCTGCGCCTTTGGGAGGCTGAGGTGAGTGGATTGCCTGAGCCCGCGGGTTCGAGACCCGCCTGGGCAACTTGGCGAGACCTCATCTCTACAATAAATCAAAAATTAGCCGGGCGTGGTAGCGCGCGCCTGTAGTTCCAGCTACTTGGAAGGCTGAGGCGGAAGGATCACCGGCACCCAGCAGGTCGAGGCTGCGGTGGCCGGGAGCGGCGGCCACTGCCCTCCAGTCTGGGCGACAGAGTAAGACTCCAACTCAAAAAAAAAAAGAAAAAAAGAAAAACGGGATAGGCTTCCATCAGGATCTTGTATTTAAGTCCTGTCTGTGAACAGTGTAGTCAAATCTATAATCTGATGGATAATCAAAAAGCCAACTTTCCAATGATGGGAGGCAAGACAAGGCAAATAGAACAATAAGCTAACATGCGCTCAGTGTCTGTGATTTGCAGGGTGTCTGCAGTTTACTTTGATTCTCACCAAAGTTCTATAAAATTGATACTAGTATTTTAAGTCTTCCTTTGAGAAAATTAAGTTGTTGAGAGGGTAGGTAACTCAGCAGGGATTGTATTAAAATTCAGATCATAAGGCTGGATGTTGTGACTCCTGCCTGTAATTTTGGCTCTTTGGGAGGCTGAGGAGGAAGGATAGCTTGAAGTCAGGAGTTAAGAGACCAGCCAGGGAAACATAGTGAGACTCCGTCTCTATAGAAAAATGAAAAAATTAGCTGGATGAGGTGGCGCACACCTGTCGTCCCAGCTACTTAGGAGGCTGAGGTGAGAGAACTGCTTTAGCCCAGGAGTTCAAGGCTGCAATGAGTGATGATGAAACCATTTCACTCCAGCCTGGGTGACAGAGCAAGATCCTGCGTCTTAAAAAAAAAAAAAATTCAGATCAGAAACAATATAGTTCTCAGTGAGAGAAAAGAACATTTCCTTTGTTGCTTTCTACTTTCATTTCAACTCCCTTTTCTCACATCTGGTATCCTCATTCCAATCTCTGATTTCTTTTAGAAACCCATCTTGTTTTTTATTCCGAAGGTGCTTTGTTTTTGATAACTCGTCAAAGCAACTATTTATTTAAATAGCCTCATATGTAGGGGTTGATTGCTAAAAGAACTCAATATATTATCATTCCTGATGCTTTTATGCTTGCTTGCTTGGCTACCAGCTGAGTCCTAACGTTGCAAAAGGTACCCTCCAAAAATGCATCTCTCATAAGGTGCTTAGAAGTGGCACAGATAGGCATGCTGGGGATCTGGGTTTGGGGAATGGAAAGACAATCACCGACTGTACGCTTCTTTCTAAGATCTAGTTGGGTTTTGCCAGATGACTGCGGCACACCTATAGGCAGAAGCCTTTTTACCTACAAATAAGTAGAAAATAACGATATGCTGCCTTTTCCAAAAAGGAATCATTTCAGAACTCAAAACTTTTCCAGCTTTAAATGTATGTACAAGAATTTCTGAAGGTAGGGAGAGGTAAGGTGAGGAGGTCTTATCGCAGACTTTTTCATTAGGGCAAAGCTTTTCTTAATTTTCTTCCCCCTAGCCCTGCCTCTTTGCTCACTTTTCTTCCTGCCATTTCTTTGTGCATCTCATTATTGCCAGCAACAAGAAAAGGCTTTGGCTTCCGCTGATAACACCGTGCAGTCCAACCCCAGTGGTACAAGTGCTGCAGCATGCCATGACAGGAAAATGAACAGGCACTGTCAGAGAGCCGGTTTGGCAGGGCCTGCTGGAGCATGCCTTTGGAGTTGACAGTCAGAGGCAGCAGGCACCTTTCCAGAGATGGGGTTTGACAAATAATGACACAGCCCACTCTATCCTGCTAGTGGGCTGTGGACACAGCCCAATAGTTGGGGAAACTCCTTTTCATCTTCCCTCCGAGCTGCAGCCAAACATTTGCATCGGTAAATTGCAAGTTTGGCCCAGGAGATATTTTGAGAATGGCATTAATGACATTTTATGTATCAGTTTCTTCTAAGGGAAATATCTATTCTGGCAGCAAACTCTATTTAAAAAATAATAAAAACAGATCTTTGTTTTCAAAAGACTGTCATTTTTTTTTTTAGTGCTACCTGAACTTGTGTATCAGAATGTTTAATTTGTTCTTATGAAATGCAACAAGTTTGGGGAGCAATGATGCTAGCTATTAACATCACAGGAACAAAACCAATTTTCAGATGTGGCCTGTGCTCACAAAAAAGTGAAATGGCCATGTAAGAACATTTAAACTTTTCCCACTGTGCAAAAACTACAATTTTTAATAGAGTTTTAAAATGAGCATCTTGGCATTCATCATGTGACAGTTTAATTCTTGTGTTTTGCTCACAAAAGAGTACAAATCTAAGATCTGAAAAAGCTATTAACTTGATCCCATAATGTCTAAGAATTTGGTTTTGTTTTGTTCTTCTCCTCCTCCTCCTCCTTCTTCTTCTTCTTCAATATAATTTAACGCTATTGTCTTGTTTTTCTGTTTAAAAGTTTACTCAGTGAACTTTGTTTTTTTATTTAGAAATTATAGTTTTGTGGTTTATAATAGTAAAGTAGTTTGCTCATTATTGATGTTTGTAATAAAAGTATATCTTTTCTAAAGTAATGTTGCAATGGCAGTCAAATGTTTCATGACATGTTTAAATACTATTCTTTTTTTTTTTTTTTGAGTTGGAGTCTCACTCTGTTGCCCAGACTAGAGTGCAGTGGCCGCTCCCGGCCACCACAGCCTCAACCTGCTGGGCTCCGGTGATGCTTCCGCCTCAGCCTTCCGAGTAGCCGGAATTACAGGCGCGCTTACCACGCCCAGCTTATTTTTTATTTATTGTCTCGCTGCACAGGCGGGTCTCGAACCCGCGGGCTCAGGCAATCCACTCACCTCAGCCTCCCAAAGGTGCGGGATTACAGGCTGAGCCACCGAGCCTGGCTTAAATACTATTCTTGATAGTAGAATGTGCCCTCCAAAGTCCCTGGGCAGATTTTCCCAACAGTGGGGTAGTCTCTAAAATATATTTTCCTTTTATTACTACTTTTGCCTGCATTCTTTTCTAGTTGGAACAGCATTCCTCTATCTCCTTGTTTTGGGAATTCTTTCTATTCAAAATACCTTAGGATAAAAATGTGTGATTGATCGCCCCTTTTCAATTCATTCAGTGTCTCTTTTTGATTGTCTACTGTCTATACTATGTAGTCATGAATGCAAATATGAATCAAGTACGGATTCTGCCTTCAAATAACTCACTGTTCTTGGTGTATATTAGACCAGTGTGCTTCCAAACTCCAGACTCCAGATCTGAAGACACTGGAAGTCGGAAAGGTGAAGTTACTATAAGGGGCCCAGGAATCCATATATGCACCAACTATGGCCTTTTGACCATAAAGTACATGAACTTTGTCTTCCTGAACAGATACAGCTTGTTTTCAAATACGGAAATACTTCAGAGATATTGCAGGGTTGGTTCTAGACTACCACAACAAAGTACATATTACAACAGAATACATCACAACAAAATGAACAATACAAATATTTTTGTTTCCCAGTACATATAAAAGTTATGTTTGCATTTTACTGTAGTCTGTTAAGTGTACAGTAGCATTATGTCAAAAAGAATGTTCATATTTTAATTCACAAATGCTTTATTAGGCCAGACGTGGTGGCTCACACCTATAATCACACATAATTTTGGAAGGCCCAGTGAGAAGAATCGCTTGACACCAGGAGTTTGAGAACAGCCTGGACAACATAAGGAGACCCCATCTCTACAAAAAAAAAAAAAATTCTTTATCACTAAAAAATGCTAATGCTCATTTTGTGCCACTCGCAAGTTCTAATCTTTTTGCGGTGGAAGCTCTTACCTTGATATTGATGACTGCTAATGATCAGGGTAATGATTACTGAAGGTTGAAGG